CACACACGCACGAGATGACAATTTTTCAAAAATACATTCTGAACACACATTCATTACCGAACACAATAGACTACGATCACGAATTTGCTTGGAACGATGTGAAAGTATCGGACTCTGAGCGAAATTTGAGCAAAAGCGATTGAACTTAGGAGATGCTTTTCGTTAAAAGACAGATTAACAGCTAAATTCACAGTCTGATACTAAATTTTTGCATCGCTCTTGAGCACTTGAGTTTATAAATAGCCTTGGTTTTGTTTTGATCGCGCGTTGTGAGAATTTCAGAACCGTTTTGTGTTCAGTTGCTGCGTTCATCTCAAGATGTATGGATGCTGTATGACATATTACTTTATTGTTAGCGCGAATTATCCCGTACTCTTGCGTATGTTTTTTTCTGCTTTTAATGTGAACTGACGTGATGTGAGCGACGATCATTCGGTGACTATTTTTTTCGCTTTTATTTAACGGAAAAGATGACAGAGACAAGTGTACTGTCACAATAATAATTATTATTCAACGATTTCATCCAGTTGATTGACGTGGTGATATGATATCATTAATTCTTGTGTGATTGAGCTCATCGAATGGACACAGTGTTATATTTATACTTTCTTGTACCACCTGAAGATGATCCAAACGCGAGTCGAAACGTTTGGAGGTTTTGTAATAAAAAGTATTAATTGCGCACCGTTTACAGCGCTGATTCTTATTATATAGTGCGTTAAAAAACACTCTAAGAATCACTCTTGTTAACATGACAATTTTTCTTTTTGGATTTGGACGAGCCTGCGATGTGCTTCCAGGGCATTCCGACGCTGATCATTGCAGTGGCCGGGATCGACGATGCAGCATCCGTGGCGGTTTACGGCATCGTGAAGAGCGTCATGTTTTCTCAGGATGCGTTGTGGTACCAGATCCTTCAGGGGCCCATCGCGATTATCGGCGGTCTGGGATTCGGCATCATGTGGGGTTGGTTGGCCAAGTACGTGCCGGAAAAGGGCGATGTAAGTATCCCCCCCCCTCTTTCTCTCTCTCTCTCTCTCTCTCGCCGCAATAACTGCTATACGAAAG